TAATTTGGAATAAGGATTAAATTTTATGCTGTCTCTCCAAAAATAATGATGAAAGCATAAGTTTTAATGGGAACAATTGATTAGTAGAATCAAATTATTGTTTAATTTTTTCTTTATAAATAATATTGTAATATAGAAAGCTTAAATTTATTAATTTAAAGAAGCCTACTGAGGAATTTTTTATGAGTCTGCTTTTCTGCTTATTAATATGTGCTAACAGAAAATAAAATTGCAATACCCTGAAGATATGTTTTTATTTAATTAAGATTAAACATAATATAGGTGAGTGATAATAAATGATTACATATACAGCTCAGTATGTGCACAGGCTCCAAAATAAAGAATATATCACTGTTATCTACAACTTTCAAAGCAATCCTGGTGCTTTTAGTGAAGCACAGAAATGAACTGGCAAAAACTAGACAATGAATTCTAAAGATGCTATAGAAAATTCATCAAACAATAAAGTACAGTAAGTATTGAAATCTTTCATTTGTAAGCAAATACACTGACTTTTACTTACATGAAGTCAAAACCTACTGTCATCACTGAATATTAAAGAGCCATTTGATCTTCTAGCTGACACTCTAAAAATGGAAGTCTGTCCAGAAGTACACATGTCCATAATTCCCAAAGGCTCATGTTAACTCTCCTTGGAACATATTTGTTATGACCGAGGTCAGGGATGTCATATGGTTTCTCTATCTGCTTTTACAGTTTGTTGATCTTGGTGTGACTATATTACATGGCCATCCAAAACTTGGTCTGTGTGCATAATAATATTCATCTGACTACTGTTGCAATGCGTCACACCCAATGTGCAGCAATTATCTAAAATGATTGTCCAATCATTTGATGGATCACAATCTTGACCCTCTCAGATGACTCTTATTATACAAAAGGAGTAAGTGTGCATCTCCATGACATGACACCTGGCTGCATTGAACTATATTGTAGCATGCATTACTATCTGAAGCTCAGACACAATGTGCTTGTATGAGTGTCAGAAGATGGCCAAAGACTGAAAGATTTTATCAGAATAGCTCATCCACTGTTATAACTTGCTCTTAGCAGTTATAATATTATGTCTCACTTGGGCTATATTTTTCAATCTTTCATTTTGAATAGTTACTTCAGTTCAATTAAAAATGATTAGTAATTGTACATTTTCTAGTGAACTTAACTATATATTCACAAACTGTTGACTGAAGAAATTCTTCGGAATAGTAAGTCTATCAAGATTAAAATGGATATCTTCAAACATGTCACTTCCATAATATTAATAATTGTTCTAGTTATATATCTGATGTTTTATTATGAGCTCCTTATTGTGAAATCTTCTCATACCCATACTTCAAGAGCTATCAATTCTAACAAACACAGTAAAAATTTAAGCAAGTTTTACTCTTGTTTTTAATGTATTGTGCACAAGTAATTACTTTTTGAATTGTTTGAGTTTAATCCTATACATTTCCACTTTTGATTCTTCATTTATGATTGTAGTTTCTGCTGCATGAAGTTACTGAAATGTTTAAATCTGATTTTTATTTATCAAGGTGACATTCGATAATTGTTTAATGTAGGATTTTTGTAAAAAAAAAAAATATTTAAAGCTCTTCAAAACTTGAATTAACAAAATTTGAGCACCACATCCCCCAAAAAGAAGAAATTATACACACACACAAAATAAAATTCCAAATCACCTCATATGGGGAATGGCAGATGAAAATATAATTCATCAGTCTTGTCAACCCCAGTATAGAAATTTAACTGTAAAAACTAAAAAAAAAAAAAAAATCCATAAAAAAAAAACTAATGCAGAAATTATCCATTTCTATGGTTCAGTCAGACAAAAGGCATGAGACAGTGGTCAGGGGAGGGTTGAAGTTATTTGTCTTAAAGGGAAGAGCTTTTGCAAAATTAAATCTAGATATTAACCTTATGACATTAAACTGGAGTTTGGAAGATTATATGTTCTGCATATACTCCTAATAGTCTTAGAGATACGTGTGATTTATGTTTAGAAGAACAAATTAGAATAATAAAATAATCAAAGCCAACTATTGAATGAAAGGAATGAATTAGTATTAAAATGTTGGCATAAAAACAAATTCAAATTTCCATAATATAGCTTTTACTTAATTAGCTACTATATTTATCTGACTTTTCAAATTTAATTTCAAATTTCCCTATTCCTGTCTTTACACTATATTAATTATAATTTATAAATTGTCCTCTGTTCTAAGAACTCTCTTTCCTTTTATCACTTACATCTTTTATCTATATATTTTATGGTTGTTTTTGAATATGACTTTGTATTTTTAGTATTACTTTTTATTTTTAAATAAAACTTTTTAAATATAATTTTTTTATTTTAATTAATTTCATTATATTTAAAAAAAATATATAACCTATTTATTTTATATTAAATTATTATTTTTAAATATAATTTTATTTATTTTTAAATATAAATTATTTAAATATGACTTATTTTTAAATATAACTTATTTAAATATATCTTACTTATAACTTGTTTTTGGAATATGATTTTGTACTTTTAAGTATGACTTTGTATTTTTAAATATAACTTTATATATTTTAAATTTTTATTTTAAACCCCTTTTTATACCTCTGTTAGTTTTTAATTAATATTTCATTCTCCTTATAACCCCAATTTAATGTCATAAGGTTAATATCCGGGTTTAATTTTATTAAGTCTCTTCCTTTTAAGATAAATACCTTCCATCCTCCCCTGATCACTGTCTCGTGTCTTTTTGTCTGACTGAAACATTGAAATGGATAAGTTCTGTATTAGTTTTTCAACTTTTTTAAAAAAATTTCTATTTCTGACATGAACTCAGTCTATACCCGGGTTGATGAGACTGACAAATTATATTTCCGTCTGCCAAAATAAGCTTATTCCCCATATGAGGTGATTTTTTTTTTTTTTTTTTTTTTTTATTATGTCTTAATTTTTACTCTGTAATAATACATTCAACTCTTTTCGTGGATCAGTTTTAATATTTTATATTACTAGGATTATTATATTTTTTTTATATTATATGGATTATATATATATATATATATATATATATATTATAAGAACACTGAAAATGACTAATTTTGGGGGGAATTGTTTGTTTCATTTTCAGATTATAATACATGTAATTGAACTGCAGATATATATCTTAAGTGTTTTATTTCATGAATAATTTATAATTAAATTTCATTTTTCAGTTTCTTGTAACTATTAAAACACTCGTTAATTTGATTCTTTGTAATTCTAAATGCTGAAGAACTAGTTAAAAATGTTCTGTGCCTACAGGCTTCTTGCTTCAGAAGAAAAAACAGACATATTTACAAAACAAATAAGGATGGAACTATTTTTACTCAGAATGCTTCAAAACCTTGTACAAAATGTATGAAAATTTCACTCTATCACTGTCATTAGCAAATTTTTGAGGAATCTTGAGGTATATGGCAAAGCATGGAAATAAACTGGCAAGAAGATGAAGTTTCCTGAGTAGATGTAAGAGGTGCTATAGAAAATCTATCAGATGGCCTTTAAAGAATTACACAAACAATAAGGTACAGAAGTATTGAATCTTATTTGAAACATTTTGGTCAGTAGCTTTCATGTAGTACTGGTGTAAGCTAAGTGAAAATTGTTTTTATGTAAATGTCACGAAGAAGCCATTTGGCAGAGATGATTTGCAAAAGGCATTGTGATCTGCAGACAAAAAGTGCTTCAGTCTTGATGAGCCTGTGCCACTACATTTCTTTTATTTTTTTCATAATCTACTACAAGACACATTGAAAAGAATTGCATGTAAATTTGGTGGTGGAAAAATTATGATCTGATGTGGTTTTATTGGCTGTGGGCTATGCTGTTTAATTACTGATAATGAAATGTTGGTACTACTCAAGTACCAAGAGATGCTAGAACACAGTTGAATACAAAAGCTACCAACAAATTGAAGAGAAAAGAAAGTTTATCTTTCAGTAAGATAATGAGTTGCCATTCTGCAAAAGTAACTGTGTTGTATGTCATTATTTTTCATCTGTAAATAAAGTGGCCTGCTTTGTCAATCACATGGAAAATGTTAGGAGAATAATGGCAAGAAATGTGTACACTGGCAATGCTAAATATTCAACTCTTCACGAGCTGAATCAAGTTATCACAGATGCATGGGAGAAAATTCCACAGTCTACACTATGCCATTCAAGTTTTGAAAGCAAAAGATGCAGTCATAAAGTATTAAATTTTTGCAAAATAGCAATTAATAAAAATTATTAATATTTTTTTTTTTTTTTACTGTTTTTATAATTACTAGACATCATTTTTTTAATTTAAAAAATTTTAAAAAGGAGAATAAAAATACACATTTACAACTACAGAAAATATTTAAAGTAATTAATTAATAAAAATATAGACTCACTTTTAAACAGATGCTACTAAAATTCTTAAAAATGTATAATTTCTGGATAAAATGCAGTTTTACGCCTTCATTTATGAAGGCATAAAACTCATTTGTTTATTTCTATTTGCGTTTAGCACAAGTAATGGGAAAGACAGCAGTGATTTATACATCTATGAAGTAAAAAAAAAAAAACAATTAAAAACTAAAACTGGATTACAGTAAGAAATATAATGAGTACATTCTAATTATAAAGTATATTTAGTGACAAATTATTGAGCATGACATTGTAATAATATAAAAAATTTTGTTGAAATAAGTCTGAATTGCTGCATATGAGCAACTCATTTTCTTATTGAACATTAAAACTGTAATTTTGAAATTTTAAATAAGATACAAATCTGAAAAGTTTATGAAGTAATGCTTACTGTAAAGGGAGCAACTGATTGGCTTTGAAATTTAGATCATCACTCTATTGTCATGGCCATAGCAGAGTTAAACCGAAATATGTAATTTATTATTACATATTAAGGAATTTGATTTGTATAATGAGTCTTGACATAGCTGCTTTCTTTCCTACAGAGTCAGATGGCAGCACACATGTGTCTGACACTGCTGCTAGTACTCCTACTACCAACAATAGTGTCCTGAACTCTTTCAATGCAGTCCTGTCAATATCAACTGAGCCTTTGAGATCTCCTTCTGACTCAGCATTTGGACAGCTCTCAGAAAGAGATCGCAGTTCCATACCTTGGATATTTATATAAGGTTAGTGAGTGTGAATGTAAAATTCTCTCTTTTTCTTGCATGTAAATCTTTTTTGAGATTTTTTTTCCATTCTATTTTCTACCTTGGTTCATATTTCCTTGATTTATTTTTATTAGTCTCTGGCACTAATTAAACCCAGAAAATAATTAAACTTTAAATTGAAACTCTTTTAAAAAAAAAATAAGTAACATTTTAAAAGATGAATAAAATGTAATAAAAAAAAATATTGCAGCTTTCAAATTGTTTCAAAATGGACAAAAGCTTAACGTCTTTTAAAGAATTTACTTCTGATCTTTATTCTTTTTAAGAATTTTCATTATTCCTGAAAAATTAATTTTCAGATGGTTAAACTTAGAATTCTTAAATTAGATTATTCTAAAGCTATCAAAAATATGAGCAAATCATGCATTAAATTATAGTATTTTTTTTTTTTTTTTTAAATTCTCATGAGAGCTAAGGTACAGCTCATATACAAAATCTTATTGTATTTAAATATATCAGAAAATATAGCAAGAAGAATAGATATAGGCACCTCCAAAAAGTGTGATACTTGAAGTTTAAAATGCATTTTAAAAAATGACAAGTCTTGAAGCTTTTATTTTAGTTTTAATTCCAAGCTAATAGATTAAACTTAATATTTCCAATAAGCAAAATACTTTGTATTTCGAACCAAACTTAAATTGATTGGGAACATTTCACCACCCCCAATTTTGAATATCAATAAAATTGTCCATATTGACAAATTTTCAAAACAACATTTTTCTCTTTATTAAAAACTCTTTCATAAATAATGATGGAGATGGATGTTTTTTTTTGGGGGGGGGGTTACGTGTTGGAAGTAAGTAGTAGATATTGGAAATAAAATTAATGATGATTGCAGTGTAAATGTTTTTTTTATGATATAATCTTTTTAATTAACCAATCTTTAAAATCTTAAATATTTTAAGCATTCTAATATTTTATTGGATTTTAGGTACTTTAGCTTTATAGTCTTACTTACAAAAATGTTGAATAAATGTTAGGAAATTACCAATAAATTTTAAATTTACTATAGTTACTGCTCTTATTTTCTGAGAATGTCTATGGACGTCTGTATTTACAAAAAATGACATGTTTATACATGCATAAAGTAAAATAATAGAGGTGATTGAATTGTAGTGAACTTTGCCATTTATTATTAGTAAATACAGTTTTAATTTAATAACAATATCATTTGATTGCTAGAAATTAATACAGAATTTTAAAAGTTTATAAATTATTCTAATTAAAATTGAAAAAATGAAAAATGTAAAAATTCATTATTCATTGAAAAATATTTTTTGTTTAGACAGTAATATCCATAATATATTTTATTCATAAACGCAATTAAAAGCTTTTTGAATTAAATAATGTCTTAGTTTTGCATTTTTATTTTGCAGTTCAGATTTTCCTTAACTGGGGATCCTGTTTGAATAAAAGAATTTGATTTAAATTCTCTGAGGACTTTTATTTATATAAACATTAAGTGATACAAAAAAGAATTTCTCAATTTCATAAAATTAAATGAATAAACAGAGCAAAACCTAAAAAAAAAAATTTTTTATTTAAATATTTTCATTCATATGTGAATAAGTCTTGAAAGTTTCATTAAAATCAGACAATAATCTGATTTTTGCAAGAATTTTCAAATCGGTGTGTTTTTCACTGCTAAAAGATGCTAAAATTTGCTGTACAAACTTATGGTTCTGTGTTGTAGCCAGAAAAAGATTTTTAACTAAAACTTTCAAGGTTCTAAAAAAATAAAAATTTTTGCATTAAAAAATCCTTTGATCTTTTATCTTAATAACACAAAGATTTTGACAATAAAATTTTGTTAGGCGTTTTGTATTTTTTTATCATGTATCCTCTTTTTTAGCAAATTTTTGGAATTACCTTAAATGTTAGATTAAAAATAAATCCATTAATTCTTTAGAAATTGTTTGGTTTATGTTTCAGATACAAAACTGAGCAGATATGGGATCTTGATAAAAATAATCCGAGTCAAGGGGATGTACTTTCCTTAAATAGGGTAAAAAGTGCCTTGCTTACTGTTAGGTCCTTTGTGGCTGAGCAATAAAGCATGTCAGATCAAATTGTAGTTTTCCCTACAAAGAGGGATGTAGGCTCAATCCCTGCCAGAAGACATAGTTTTTTAGTTAGAGTTAAAAGTTGAGCATCTATTTTAAATAAGTGTCCATAATAATGATGTTTGAAGTAATAATAACACACACACACACACACAAGCCTAACAAAAATCATGAGGTAGCAGTAAATAAAAGTAATACTCTGACCTAGATCATTTGTGCTTTGACCTTTAGTGATTCAATGTGAAAACATGCTAGGTTGCTTACATGCACTATTGAAGTTTGAATAGTACATGATAGTGTGTGAAAGAGGGATGGAACATTCCATTTTTTGATATTGTGGAGACATTTGACAGTGTTATGGTGTCACATGTGTACAGGGAATGCCTGATGGAAGGCATTACCTCACATCATGGACAGTATAGTGGCCAACCACAAATTCATAATGATTGTGTCTGGCTAGAATTGTCTGCAGTTACCAGTTCAAATTACATCCATATTCAATGCAGGAGTTACTAGTTATATTTTCAGCAGGTCAGTTCAGTATTCTTTAGGATATAGGAGTAGATGGACCATCAGAGGATCCTTGACAGTGACACCTGATACAGCAACTGACCTGAGCTTGTTAAATTGCTAATTGGACCATGGTATACTGATAATATGTGGCATAGTCCAATGTGTCATATTTCCAATTGTTTTAGGCTGATGGTGCAGTTCATATCCCTATGCATGCTGGTGGTAGTATCATAATGGTGGATATGTTCATGTGACACTGGTCTGCCTAAACTCATTATTGACTGATGAATGTTTCATTGCACAGCCTTATGAAAAACAGAAAACTTACTACAGTAAAACAGGTTGAAAACCCTCAAAATCATCAATATATATAAATTGATCTTTTTCTATACATAAAGCCAAAATATGAGGGTGGGCTGAAAACTTCATAGGGATGACTATGAAGGAGTGATGCTAAAGCTGTGAAATCTTGCATGCATTAATTTCAACTCATTACTAACAGCATTGTTTCTTTCCATCTGAGTGTTCAAAGAAGACTTCAAAAGTAACTAGTAACAACTTTTCTTGAAAATGGAGAACATTTGGCATTGTGGTGTTATCAAGTACCAGCAGAAAAAAAGGGTTTCGCCCCCAAGGACATTCATGTGGACATGGTTGTTACGTTAGGGGATGATGACACCCTAGCTTTATCAACAGCTGAATTTAGGAGAGGAAGGGAGAATTTTGAAAACGACTCAAGGTCTGGACACCCTGCAATTGCTATCACTGAAGAAAACATTCATCATGTGTGCCAACTTAATCTTCTCTTATGTCTATGATAAATCAATTTAGGTATATTTACTTATGATATTGTTGAACAGAAATAGTTTATGTACTGTGGTAGGTTCTAATTATGTTTGGGAGACGTGTATAAGTTTTGCAGTTGTGGCATTTTTTTCAACTAGGCAATCAAATGAAAATGCTCTGATTACTGTTGGCAAATCCTTTTTTATCTGAAAATAAAATTCTGGTATTGTAAAAAATTTATAATTAATTTTGATATATTCTCCACCCTCCATGGTTATAGCAAAATTACAAAAGAAGGAAAAGACCTGATAGAATGCTTAGAAAAATATTAAAGTAACTCTTATTGGAGTGGCATCTTAATTTTTAATGTTTGTCATAGTAAAAAATCCATTTACTCTTGTATATAAAAACTCATATTCAGTCTCCAACTGAAAAAGATATTTTTCTCATAAATAATCTGGTTTTAAGTACCTTGAATAAATTCTGAAATCAATTGCATCTGAAAACTGAAGATATTTTTGTAATACCATATTTTAAAATCAGTAAGCTTATCTTTTAAACAAAAAAAATCACATCATGTTTAGATGTGATCTTTGCCTTCTTGATTTTATTTACACCACTTGATGGTATATATACATTTTTAAATTTCTTTTTTGTTTTTTTTTCATAATTTAGATTATTTTTATTGACAGCTTGCAATATATCTTTTTTAAAATGCTTTTTTCTGGTGTCTTTTGTTTTCAGTTTTTACTTTTTAATACAGCTTTAATGCTATTTTTGCTTTTTTTTTTATTTGAAAACTCAGCCTTTTTACAAAAGTAAAAATTTACTCATCACTTCCAAGCCTGGTTTAAATTAATAAGTTCATTTCATATATAACCTTATTTCTTTATCTCTATATATTAAAATAATAATAAAATTATTCTTTTGTAAAGCACTCACATTTTTTTTTCATGTGTTGTTACCCTGATTTTTTTTTTTTTTTTTTTTTTTTTTACTAAAAATGTTGTCTTAATTTTTTTCGACTGCCTTTTTCTTCTTTTTACAGTCAACAATGGCAGATTTGACTGATGCACCCATGAATATCCAGACCCATCAAATTTTTTGGATAAGCTTCTGCCAAAATGATGACAACGCTAAACAGCCACCAAATATGGAATTTGAAAATAATTTCTGTCATAGTAGCCCTAAGTTTTATATGGACCTTACTGAATGCCACAGCTCTTAAGATCTGATATAGTTTACCTGCTCTTTGAAAGTTATTGTTAAGTTCAATCTGTATTTTATTTTTGTTACAAAATGGAGGGGTATAAAATGTTATGGAAAATAACTTTCATTTCTCTCCCCACCACTCCAATTTACTTATTTTTTTCATATTTTGATCTCTTTAAAATTATTCCACATCAGAAAAAAAAAATTTTATTACTTTTAATATTTCTTTTTCAATACTTATTTGTTACCAGTCAGGATATTATAATTTTTAATTATCCCAAAATAATATTCATAAAAAGGGAATTATCTTGATTTTTCAATTATTTTCTGTGCTAGTAAAAGATCTCACTTTCTTGAAAATCTGAAAGATTTTAATTATACAATGTAGATTATATATGCTTGCATGCGTGTATTTAGGGACTCCTTGTAAAAGATTTTGTTAAAAGTAAATAGTTTAAGAAAATGTCTTTCTATAGCTTTGCTTGCATTTATTCACTTAACAGCTATTAGCAATGAATCCAGACAAATCTAATTTAGTTGAAGTGTCCAGTAAAAATTATCATTTCAAGGTTTAGTAGGTTTTTACTAAGCTTAGTTTAGTCTGGCACAAGACTTATTAGACCATGTTCACTGGAAAAATATATGCACAGATGTATTAACGACATTTTTTTTGCCAACTGAAATATGCGAGATTATATGAGAAATTCATGAAGAAGCAAACAGTATGGTTAGTGTTTGTACAGAGAATTTACTCTAAAAAGAGACATAATTTGTCCTAATATAGAATTATTTTAAACAATATTACGGTTTTCATTCTTTCAGTAGAAAGGAAAATTGTTTGAATTGTATAAACACAATATCAGAATATGGGTTTTAAATTTGTTTTTGCAATTTAAAGAATTTTTTATGCATGTTGATCAGTTCTGCTTTTATCAGCATTCTATCATATTAACTGGAAACTGAGTGAATAAAAGTAGCATTGCATTTTTTAACTTTCACCAAAAAAAAAAAATCATTCATATTTCAGACAGTACAATTTTAACATTTTAATAAATTTGGATGTTTAATTTTTGGTTTTATATCAAACCTTGAACAAAATTTAAAACCATATTCTTTGAATCTCATAAACTTTTTCCAATATTTCTATATAGAAAGCTGAAACTGAATGAAAAGTTGCAAACTATCTCCATAGATCTGCCTTAACTCTTTTTAGAAATTTATTTTACTTTGCATTTTTATTGATTCCTTTTTATTTTGCATCATTCTTTTTTCTATTTTAACAATGGGTTTCATTTTTCTGATGAATAAATAGAAGTAAGCAACTAAGAATGATTCATACATTTAATAATTAAAATGTTTTAGCTTGGAATTTCTCCTTGTAGAGAAATAGAACTAAGAGTACATTCTGGTTGTTAGTGCTATTTTGGTATACTTAATGGCACTTTGAAAGGAACACAAAGACACACTTCAAGTGATAAAGTTGTATGCAAATGGATCCCATTTGTCAAAATAAATGCCCAACATTATCAAATTTGTTTTGTTTTTAATCTGTTTCAAACCTCTTTTCCCTGAATTTTCTCTTTTCATATCTGTTAACTTTTTTCAATTATAGCAGAGCATTAACTTTTATTCTTGAAAATATTCTAAATTTAAAATTAAGTCCAAAGAACAAATATTTATATAAATGAAATCATTTATGGTTCTTGGGTCCAGAAAAACTTTTTTAAATCTTCTTTTCTGTTTGCCATCTGCAACTTTTTCTTACAAAATAGGGCTGTTCCCATAGTTTGTTTTTTGCATTATGAGTTGGATCATTTTTTTTTATTTAATATATAAAATTCAAAGTTTATGTATCTTCTCAACACCCTGAAAATATCTAAAGTTGTGGGTGTGTAAGATATTGTGTAAAATTGGGATGGCAATTAAATTTAAGGAAAGTAAGAAATGTTAATTTTTTTTTATATTCATTACCACAGCAACACCTCATACACGTATTGCCATGGTACTGAATTGGACAAACATTTTTTCCTGAGCACTTCAGGACATCTTCCAATTTCTAGTTTCTTCAGACACAGATCAGATGGGTCGTTCATTGCCAAACAGTAAAGGAGGTCATATACTGTTAGCAGAAAATGAGTGAAAGGAATCTAGAGCAGTGGATTAACATCGAGTTTGGCATAAAGATTGATAAAAGTGCTAGTGAAATGTTAATCCTATTCAAATGGCTTCTAGTGAATATGTTCTTAAGAAGTTGAGTGTTTTTGAATGGCTCAGGATGTTCAAGGAAAAGTGTCAAGATGTGCACATTGATGCAAGAGGTGGGAAGTCAAAAACAATGAACAGATGCAAATGTAGAAAATGTGAACTTTGGTGCTCAGATTACAGATTAAGTGTGCAACTGATATAACTGAATTTGAATTTTTCAGATTTTAAATGGATTTGTGAATGTGAAAAAATTCCTCGAAGATGGTGCTGCAAATCTTGATTGATAAGCAGAAACAATGTCAATTTCACCTTTTATTTGATCGTTCTATGACCTAGAGGATGCAGTGAAAAACAAACAATTTACCTTGGCCCTGTCAAGAGAATGCTTGTGTTCTTCTTTGGTCATAAAGATAGTTTATTAAAAATTATCATGAGGATAAATTGTCAAACATCATGTTTATTTGAAGGTGTTAAAATAGAAGAATCTGTTCAGCACAAAAGACCTGGCAAATGGATTCTCCACCTTGACAGTGTTCTTGTACATGATGTGCTAGAACAGTGTTTCTCTATTTTTTTAAGCAATGGCACACCTAGGAGCTGATGAAAATATCATGGTACACTTAGCAAAATTAAAAAAAAAAAAAATTTTTTTAAAAATGAAATATTAAAATAAAGTATCTAAAATTACATAATCAAAGAATAGTGAAAAGAATTATTTGAAAAAATGTTTAATACTTATTTATTTATTCAAATACTAATGCTGTATCATTACTACTAACACATACACAAATATATGTATGCTGTGACAATATTTTGTGGCATGCTAGTGTGTTGTGTCATGGAAGTTTTAGAATCACTGTAAAAAACAAGTTCCCAAAATAAGAAAATCCATTACAAAAATATGCTGTCCACTTTATTCACCAGGGTTAGCTCACTTTGATTTTTTGGCTATTTCCAAAATTAAAAAATGATTTGCTTGATATCCAGCAATTACTGAAAGATATTAGGGAAATTAATTTCCAAGAATGTTTATAGCAATGACACTTTCATCTTATTGATAGTGCTAGCAGCAATATTGGCCAAATAAGCAAACTTGCTTTTACAGCCGTTTTGGAAATGAAATTGTCACACCTTGTATATTTTGAGAATAAATATTTCAGTATTTAAGAGTTAAATTCTGAAATTTTTTAATTTTTTTTACATTTTGTTCATAAAAAAAAAGAAAATAAGTTACTTGATTTGTCGGGACCTATGTGTCCCTGCAGATCAGTGTTTGTCACTACTTGGCAAAAATTTGGTCAGGATAATGTTGATTTAGGACACTTTATATCCAGGGTCGTTTTGGTCATTGATGTTAATTATGTCACTAATGTACTGGTTCAATACCAAAGCTCAAATAGTTTTTAATGTCTGGTTACTGAGTAACTGCTTTGATCTCAAGTCTAACCTACCCACGTGACTTTGATCTTAGATAGATGAAATCAATCAGGTGTCGGGCTGTAGTGTAAAGATGAGTCAAGACTAAAGGTGGTATTGCACAAGCACAAAAAAAAAAATAAATAAAAAAAAGAAATTACAAGAGGTTCAAGTATGTTAAAAAATAACAAATTAATTTTATTTTCTGTTATATACAGCCCGTTTTTTATGAAAAAGACACTTCCACAAAATTCAAGCAGTTGGTATCTTAAATCAACTAATTTAGTTAGGTTTGGCTTGGGATTTGTTCAGTGTTATTTTAAGGATAGGCGAAGTCGAGGTCAATGGAATCTCTTTTCAGCTCTAACTCCAAAATCAGCTCCATTTTGCAACTCAGAACTTCTGAACTTTATTTGAGTGCATTGGTTTATATGGGTACCAAAACCCGTAAGATTTTGATAAATGTTGGGGTTCTTGGGTTAATGTCAATTTCAACAAAAATTCTCTTTTTGTCATGCCAGATAAAATTTAATTAAATTGCATTTTGGAAAATTAATCACTTTCCATTTTGGGGTGAATCAATTCCATCGAATATGAGGGAAGGTTAGGAGAGCTATTCTCCTAGACTCTTTCTCTCACATTTTAATCTCTTCAGTGGGCATTAATAACTTCTCTGTAATCATCTCATCCATTCACCTCCATGCTATCACCTTTGCTACCACTCAACCAAATAGCATCCCGAGAATGCAGGTGTGGCTAAGCTGGCCTTAAAATTATAATCTAGAATTTTTATTTACAAAATTCTCCTTTTCCCATCAGCCAAAATTTTTTGAATTCCATATTGCCAATTAAATTTCTATCATATCTTTTTTGTGCCACCCAGAATTCATTTAGCCAGCACTTTACTGACTCCATCAATCACTGTCAAAGTTTGCCATCTGGTCTTTCTTGAAGTTAGCTTTATAATGGAATCTTGGCTTGTTGAGAAATTAAATTCTTTTATCTTGCCAAATCTCAATTTCCACCCTATTTTCTGTCTTGTGCAAAAATTTTACAAACGCCATATTGCTATTCAACGTTTTGTATCTAAAACCGTACAGGTTGATAAGGTAAATAATAACAATTTCATTATGTTTGTGAGACAATGCCAAAATTTTATAATTGCCAGATTCATTTTCCTTACCAGTGGCCAAGAAAAAAAAAAAAATAAAGAGATATCTTGGTTGAGATAATTCATCAGATTCTAAGCTTGCTTGTTTGATTAAATGTCTCAGTTGAAAAAATGATATTCTAAATGGTGATCTAAAACATATCTTAATATTTCCATTTAACTTCCTAATTTTTTTAATAAGACATTAATCAAACTGACAAAACCTCACATATGGTTTTTCCATG